AGTTAAGCACTGCACTGACCAGAGTTGAGTGCTGCACAAACTAAGGTTAAGTACCGCACCAACTTGAGTTAACTACTCCACTAAACAAAGTTAAGTAATGTACTAACCAGAGTTAGTTACTGCGTTAATAAATATACAAGTATAATCGTCTCTCCCTTCATAGTTATCATTCGCCAATCCTATTTACTCAAGTAATAGGGTGGTTAAAAGCCAACCTTGGTTACTAGGTCGACCCAGTTTCATACTGATACCAGAAAAGTGTTGGGAAGTAAAGGCGATTGATGTGACGCTGACTACATCATTTAAACTAGTGCTCAATTGTCTTTGAAATTTGTCAATTGTCTTTACATTTTTTCTTTTTGTTTGTTTACAATCTTCCATGTATCTATGCTTAGAAATATAAAACATGTTTACTATCCGCTAAATATTGTCAGAAAGAATAATTGATGGCGGAACTGTTAAGATCGCTGTGCTCACATTCGAGAGACCCAGGTTTCAATCCTCAGTGAGTTAGTGGAGTTTTTTTCTTTGGGAGAAAAGGGGGTGACAAAGAAAGGGGGTGGGTGGCGGGGGAGGTTGATAAAATCATAGCCTGTAAAGTCAGTGGCACCTGCGCTAGCCGTGCGGCCTTAAATCCTCAGCGTGTGGACCTATCACTGTCATAAAAATAAAGGTCTCTTGTCACGCCAGTAGTGCATGGGGCATGTCAGGATAGACATACAGACCAATCAGCCCTCGATGGCTGATTTAGTCAACATCACATCGGCAACCTTTACTTCCCAGGACTCTACCCATTAGCTATTTAAGGCTGGGTCGACCTGGGAGCCTGGGTCATGTATGGAAACAATTCGGCGTTATGAAGATTTAAACTCACGACTTGTCATATACTGCCCTTAAAAAAAAAATAGGGTGAACTGGCAGCAGCGATCATTTTTTTTTCTGGGAGGAAGGCGAGCGGAAGACCAAGAAAGAAACAGATAAATGGAGGAGCTGAAAACTGTAGAAAAGATGAACAAATCCACCGAACCTTTCCACTCGAGAAAAACACGACGCGGGAGCTACAACCTGCTATCAGTAAGACGACAAAAGTAGAAGAAGATTGGCCATTTTATTTCGTTGTCAGAAAGCGTTCTCGTATATATACATTGGTCTTGTAAACGTTACGGAAATCTCCCCAAACAGAGTTAGCGCCGCCCATTTACGCACAAGGTCACTTAACATTCACAGTTTGTTGGGCTGTTCGACTTTGCTGAAGGTTACGGGTGTGTCCTGCTCTTTTGTTTGCTTTCCGTGTTGTTTTCAATTTACGTTTTCATTCCCAGAAAGAGAATGCCTGTGACGTAGGTTGCAGCACTATCGCGGGAGTGGTTGTGTTAGGGTCAGTGCTCCATGTTTTTGGAGCGTAGAAATCGCTGGCAAGCTGAAATATACAAGACGCGATATAAGCGGAATCGCGGAACACCCCCGTAACCTTGTGCGAAGGTGACTCATCTCAGGGACTATCAATCAAAAGTGACCTATTGTGTATATAGGCGGGGCTAACGGTGTTTGGGGAGATTTGCGTTACGTTTACCCATTAGTCTTAGTCTGGGTTTCAGTTTGATTGCAATCGGGTTTCCCCATGCTTGCTCAGCTCTTGAACCAGTGGAAAAAAAATGTATACATAATTCACTTACAATAAATAACTACGGGAGATCTAGTTCATACATCTCACTGGTCTCTATTCTCGCAGTATATCCCATTATATCACGTGCAACCAAATCAATATGTCTGGACATCCCCCTTTTCAGGGATTGGCTGTAGGCAGGTTATGACTTTCAATAACAGACGCGATGAAATAATATCTCTCCGAATTTAATCATCATAACGGACTTGACAGAGTCATATCTTCCTGAACTTGATCACTCTTTTGGGTTTATAATTTAATTTTTGACCAGGGAAGTTTCGGGTCTGCAGTCTGCTACTTGGTGGTCCCAAATCGCAGGCTGCGATGAGTGGGTGGCCTAATATTCTAAAGTGTGCCTAAATAGCCATGTGCAGCTTTGACAGATGATAGTTAGCAGAACCAGGCGCGGCTCTGTGGAACTTTAACAGATGATAGTTAGCAGAACCAGGGGCGGCTCGGTATCTCTCGTTGCTGTGATGTCTTAGCAGTGACTGCTTCAGTATATTTATTCTAGGTTTCCATCTGCCTAGTTTCCTTTCGCCTCTTTTCTTGTTGTACGCTCTCGCTGCCGTTATTGCTGGATTCATTCTCACTTAGTAGCTGAACCATTTCAGTCTTTGATAAAAATGCTTCTTAGCCTGACGCTATGAAAGTCGTGGGTACAGTTTGGTATCCAGTCACTTAGTGTACCAGTACGGATATTTCGGAGACTTTTATAATTGATTATTTTCGGTGTCCTTTTACGACATGCTAATTAGAAAGAGTTGGAGCTGGTGGAAGGGTTTATTCTTTAACTTAAAATGGGGCCCGGGGACCAACGCAAGGGAATATTCTAGAAATAGAAGTTGAAGACAAGTGAGAAACAAACATGCAGGTAAAGATACAAGTGCAAGGATATCATTGGGAGATTGTATGTACAGCTGGGGGCGGCAGAGAGAGAGAGAGAGAGAGAAAGAGAGAGAGAGAGAGAGAGAGAGAGAGAGAGAGAGAGAGAGAGAGAGAGAGAGAGATCTATTTCAGCCAACCTTCATTGTGGAGATGGCACCTTATTTACTGCTGGGGATTTCCATTTTGTCCAGACAATAATGTTCTCTTGTGTTTCATTTATTCAATTTTTCTTTAAATACGAAAATTGCACTTCACAAATATTATTCCAGACATGAGCATTGCACTTCACAAATATTATTCCAGACATGAGCATTGCACTCCACGCATAATAATATAGACACGAGCATTCAACTCCACAAATATTAATCCAAACACTACCATTGCTTTCCACAAATTTAATCCAGACACGAACACTGCACTTCACATTTATTAATCCAAACATGAACATTGCACTTCACAAATATTAATCCAAAAATTAATATTACACTTCACAATATTAAATCCGAAATATTGCACTTTACACATATGTAAATTCACATTGCAAATAAATATTAATCCAAAAATTAACATTGCACTTCACAAATATTAATCCAAAAATTAACATTGCACTTCACAAATATTAATCCAAAAATTAACATTGCACTTCACAAATATTAATCCAAAAATTAACATTGCATTTCACAAATATTAATCCAAAAATTAACATTGCACTTCACAAATATTAATCCAAACATGAACATTGCACTTCACAAATATTAACCCAAAAATTAACATTGCACTTCACAAATATTAATCCATACATGAACACTGCACTTTACAAATATTAATCCAGACATGAGGATTGCACTCCACAAATATGTTATTTAAACACTGACATTGAACTCCACAAATAATAATCCAAACATAAACATTGCACTCTTCAAATATTCATCCAAACATGAACATTGCATTCAACAAATATGAATCAAAACATTAAATTGAAATAAATTCGGTGCAGACCTGATAAGGATAACTCACTGGCGAAATGGTTCTTCTTATCAGAAATTTCTCCTTTAAAAATAAGATTTCAACCAAGTAAATTGCTGGGGATAAACACATTTTTCCTCACAACAGAAATTTGCCACATCCGAGATCGTCTTAAGCGGTCTCCACTGTATTAGCTTGAAAAAAAAAAAAAAAAGGAATGCGTATCTTGAGTTTTGTCATTTACTTGTGTTTGCTTTTTATAGCTATTATTTTAGTATTACAATTGTTACAGGTTTAAAATATACATTATTAGTTCTCAAGAATGGGTATTTTAGGCGAAAGTCATATGCCAAGCTGTTTTGCCTCGTGTTCTAAAAAATTATTTTAAAAAAGGGGGTGGGGGGGGGGGGAGGCTGTCGTTTTTGGAGGTAAGCAGTTTTTGTTTTATGCAACACTCCCGCGGACGATCAACAGCTCAGCGGAGAGAGGGACCGAGCTATATGTGATAAAACATCCAGCAATAAAGCCGATTATCACTCCTTTAAACTTTATGATTTTAAGGAAATCAAGTAAGTTGCATAGCCTTTACAGGACGTTGCAGAACCAGCTCTAGCATTATTTTAGCTGTTGTCGTTTTTCTATTGACATTAGGTGCAGTAAAGCAAACCAAGTATTGGGACAGCTAGCCCCCCTCTTACAGCATAAGACAATCCCAATCAGCACAAAGAGACATCTTATTCAAAGCATATTTATTCCAACTCTGTGCTACCAGTGCCAGACATGGTCACTCACAACAAACCATAAAAGAAAATTAGTAACCACGGAAATGAGATGTCTGAGAAGGGCTGTAGGAGTGACCATAAGAGATAAAATCAGGAATGAGATCATAAGAGAACAAGTCGGCACAGAACCAATTCTGGATTACATACAAAGACAGCAAGTGAAATGGTTTGCCCACTTAGAGAGAATGCCTTGTGACACCATACCATACAAAGCATACATGGAAAGAGAAGAAGGACGTAGAGCACGGGGTAGACCAAGAACAAGATGGAAGGATAACATCAGAGAAACTCTACAACAGCACGATGTGCCTATGGTCGAGGCAGCCAGAAGAGCTAGAAACAGAACCTTATATCTCCCTCGACACCCACAGCGGTAAAAGAGGAAGTGAAGAAGAAGAAGAAGAAGAAGTCGTTTTTCTAGGCAAAGTTTACCTTCAGTAGTTTGCCATTGCTTCTCAAGAATCGGCTCTCGGTTCCACTGTTGAAACTAACGCAAGACAACCGTCCGCCGTTGGGATCGAACCCGGCACCCCAGAATTACGAAGCGCGTTCCCAAAGAGTAAGCCACAGACGCGTACTTTAAGGAAATATGATTGTGAATTGTTGTAAGGATAGTAGAAATTCTTTCGTTTTCTCGTTATACAGATTTTTGCAAACACCCATACAAAGACCACGTGACTTAGCAGACGACATCAAAGATGGCAACCGCAGACGGTGAAACCCCACTCGCTGAAACAGAAGAAGAGAAGACTGTAGCTGAGAAGGCTGAAGTAGTGGAAAGTGTCACCTCTGAAGGCGATTCTGTTGCTACCGCTAAAGCAACTGCTCCTGACACTGAAGCTGCGCCACCTACTGTGGTAGAGATTCCAGTCCACGTCACAGAAGCGGAAGAACTGTTCAAAACTTTGACCTCTGCCACGGAGTGCCATTCGCTTCTACGCAAGCATCTTACGCAGGCCATCTTCGATAAGATCAAGGACAGGAAAACCAGCCTTGGAGGGACTCTAGCTGACTGCATTCGATCTGGTGAGTATACGTTGTTGATTTTATTTGGCCCTTCCGATATATTGTCCAAATGTCAAAGACGAATAGCATTTTTTTTAAAGCGATTGTTGTAAATAACAAGGGAGCAGCGGCTGCACGATGCGCTGACCTCATTGTCGCCTGTCCAATTTGATACAGTGGCAGGTGATGTCTAGACGCCTGGAATAGGACCTAGATGGGTTACCAATCTATCCCGAATGAGAGTCTTTCTAATACAAGAATGATAAATATAATTCCGTATAAGGCCAATGCAATTATTTTGTTTGGTCCTACCAAAGCCACCGCAATTGTCTGTCGGTCTGCTCCCCCTTCGGGTTAAACCTGGTTTAGCCACCCTTGCCAGTTTAAGAGTTGTAGTCAGGATTTTTATTACTTTCTAACTTACCCAATGTTTTCCACATCGTGTATGGAATCCAACCGGAGTACATACGAACTCTCTCACCAGTGATCGTTAAAGAGTTTCTTCTAGTCGTCGTCGTTTCCCAGGTCGGTGCCAACTATGGACTTCTTCGTCCACTTTGTATCAGAATGTGTCCACTATTTTGCCATCTTCTTTCTCTTATAACTTTTAATGCCAGCAGTAGTCCAGACATGTCTCCTTCGCCTTTCTTGAATTCACATCATGTACTATTCATAAAGGGAGTCGCCCTGGTGTAGCGGCTAGTCACTCGTTTGCGGATCGGATTGTCGTGGGTCGGGTTCTAACGGTACCGGAATTTTTTTCCCTCCAAAAAATAACCCTTGGCTCCCAGCCTGAATGAGTACCAGGTGGAGTCATGGGAGGTAAAGGCGGCTGGCATGGTGTTGACCAAGTGCTGATTGGTGTATACAGTATAGGTCTAGCCCTATGTGACCAGTACGGCTGATAAAGTGAAAAGGGTTATTTACTTACTTTAATATTCATCAGGAAGCAGCCGAGATATAGCAGCTAGACGTTCGCCTGTGGATCCGAATCGCTTTGGTTCAAATCCTCATTTAGCCTGATCCCCCCTTCCCTTCCCGATGTTATTTCCCAGGGCGGCCCAGAATACATGGGTACCAGGTAAATTCCTGGGAGGTAAAGGCGGCCGACGTGGAGCCGATTGATCTATAAATATCTGGGCTATCCTCCGAATAACGGTCCTAAATTATCGAGCAGGAAAATATACCCTAACAGGGCCTCAGTCACGTGTCAATTGCGAACTTGCGTCATCTTAAATTGCGCGCTTCCGGCGACTTCCGCCACCGCTAAAAGTATCCCGCACGCCGCTCACGCGGCGTGGATTGGGGCTAGACTAGATGGCTGGGACTCACGAGCAGCAGCTACCGCATCTCCTGCAGCTTCCTTCATTTTATTTGCTCGTGAGTCCTAGCCATCTAGTTTAGCCCCAATCGACGCCGCGTGAGCGGCGTCAGGGATGCTATCAGCGGTGGCGGAAGTCGCCGGAAGCGCGCAATTTAAGATGACGGAAGTTAGGTTATATTTTCCGGCTCGATAATTTAGGACCGTTTTTTGGAGGACAGCCAAGATCTGAGTCTAGCTTCCGATTCCGGATGTGAAACGGGCATGTAAAGGGTCTCTTTTACTTTGTGTTTTGTTCATCAATGTCTTCCAGCATGTTTTCCAAATAAGCATCTGGTTTAATCACTGGCTAAATCAGTATCTGGCTGAATCAGTATCTGGCTGAATCAGTATTTGGCTGAATCAGTATCTGGCTGAATCAGTACCTGGCTGAATCAGTACCTGGCTAAATCATTATCTGGCTGAATCAGTCTCTGGCTGAATCAGTACCTGGCTAAATCAGTATCTGGCTGAATCAGTACCTGGTTGAATCAGCATCTGGCTAAATCAGTATCTGGCTAAATTAGTATCTGGCTAAATCAGTATCTGGCTAAATCAGTATCTGACTGAATCAGCATCTGGCTAAATCAGTATCTGGTTGAATCAGTACCTGACTGAATCAGTACCTGGCTGAATCAATATCTTGCCTGCTATTGATAATTCCTTGTTTGATGAAATCGGATGTGTGGGAGGAGCGGCACATATACGTTAGCCTAGATATAAACCACAACGCAATATACCAGCTGGCTTTTTCAAGAGGTGAACTACCTACCGCTGGAATTAGTAGTAGAGCAGAAGCAACCTCATAATTTTTCCCTAAATGTAAAAGTATCGGTAATTCCCTATTATAGTCCGTTTCAAAAGTCGTGCCCTCAATACTGTAACAAATGATTGGAGGACTCCTGTACGGATGAACATATATTTTTGTATGTGAACTCCGATTGCCCATGTTCTTGTGATTTTATCATTAACAGTTGCACTGGTTCCACTGTTTTCCTTGATCTTTATTTGACTATTTGTGTACCTCAAAACAATAGAATATATAGTAATTAACACAAGCCTTATATGTTTGGAAATCGTTCCACGTGTGCAGCGATTAGTTGCGATTATTTTAATAGCCTGTCTAGCAAACAATGAAAATTCCACAACTCATTGGAGACTAGTGCTGGGGATGACTATCTGAGAGTGAGACGCCTATGAATTGCGTGCAGTTTGATGCTATGAACATTTCCGGTATCTTGATTAACAGCAAGCATGCTGATTGTTTTCTTTGAATCAGTGCCTGTTTGTTTTTTCTCCATATATCGCAAAAAAAAAAAAAAAAGGCCAAATGAAAACTAGGTGTTTGTTTTTACATTAAAAATATTTATTTTACAAGGTCATGATTATTAAGAGGTTGCAGGCCAAAATTTAGCAACTTAGGTGTAACGGTACTAAATTACAGATTTGTAGAGGCTCGACATCTGAAACAGAACTATAGTTACAACTGGTGACTTGTAAAATTCCTTTTCACATTTTCGGAAACACACACGTGTTGGGGTGACCAGACCAGTTCCAATTACTGGCTGCCATTCTTTACAAGACCCTTCTCAGAACATTTTGAGCAATACCTCGGAATGTGCTTCTTCATCTTAGAGTCCCCGCCGTGTGGCGTGGGTAATCATGACTGTGCATAACCTTCTGTCTCATGTATTTTCAGTCAACTTTGACACCATAGATCCTCTATGCCGTGACGTCAGACTCTTGAGCATCTTCTCTCTTGGCCTCCCTCTGGCTCTCCTCCAACTTTTCTACTGTCACGATGTACCCTTGTTCTCCTTCTCATCACATAACGAAAGAATATAGCTTGTCTCCTTTTGGTGCGGGCAGTCGGTTCTCTCTGTGAGTCGGATTCTTTCAAGACCTAATTCTCATTTTATCTGTCCAAGGTATTCTTATTATCCGTCTATGAAACCATATCTCCATCTCTCTCTCTCTCTCTCTCTCTCTCTCTCTCTCTCTCTCTCTCTCTCTCTCTCTCTCTCTATCTCTCTCTCTCTCTCGTTCTCTCTTTCTCTCTCTCTCCAAAAAATAACCCTTGGCTCCCAGCCTGAATGAGAACCAGATGGAGTCATGGGAGGTAAAGGCGGCTGGCATGGTGTTGACCAAGTGCTGATTGGTGTATACAGTATAGGTCTAGCCCTATGTGTCCAGTACGGCAGTAGAAGTGAAAAGGGTTATTTACTTACTTTAATATTCATCAGGAAGCAGTCGAGGTGTAGCGGCTAGACGTTTGCCTGTGGATCCGAATGGCTTTGGTTCAAAACCTCATTTAGCCTGATCCCCCCACCCTTTCCCGATGTTGGTTCCCAGAGCGGCCCAGAATACATGGGTACCAGGTAAATTCCGGGGAAGTAAAGTCGGCCGACGTGATGTTGACTACATCATCCATCAAGAGCCGGTTGATCTATAAAGATCTGAGTCTAGCCTCCGATTCCGGATGCGAAACGGGCATGTAAAGGGGTCTTTACTTTGTGTTTTGTTCATCAATGTCTTCCAGCATGTTTTTTACTGGTTTATATTTCCCAAAAAGCATCTGGTTGAATAAGTATCTGGCTAAATCTGAAACAGAACTATGGTTACAACTGGTGACATGTGAAATTCCTTTTCACATTTTCGGAAACACACACGGGTTGGGGCGACCAGACCAGTTGCACTTACTGGCTGCCATTCTTTACAAGACCCTTCTCAGAACATTTTGAGCAATACCTCGGAATGTGCTTCTTCATCTTAGAGTCCCCGCCGTGTGGCGTGGGTTGTCATGACTGTGCATAACCTTCTGTCTCATGTATTTTCAGTCAACTTTGACACAGATGATCCTCTATGCCGTGACGTCAGACTCTTGAGCATCTTCTCTCTTAGCCTCCCTCTGGCTCTCCTCCAACTTTTCTACTGTCACGATGTACCCTTGTTCTCCTTCTCATCACATAACGAAAGAATATAGCTTGTCTCCTTTTGGTGCGGGCATTCGGTTCTCTCTGTGAGTCGGATTCTTTCAAGACATAATTCTCATTTTATCTGTCCAGGGTATTCTTATTATCCGTCTATAAAACCATACCTCCATCTCTCTCTGTCTCTCTCTCTCTCTCTCTGTCTCTCTCTCTCTCTCTCTCTCTCTCGCTCTCCTCTCTCTCGCTCTCCTCTCTCTCTCTCTCTCGTCTCCGTTGACAAAGAAAGACTGCATAGACTAGTCTTCATTTTGAAAAATGCTTCAGCTGTTCTGCATTTAACTTCTTTAATACATCTTCCATCTGTTGTTATTAGGGTACCCAAGTACTTAAACATATCAGCTAACTTGAGGATAAACCCTATTTTCTTTGATGCTGCATTAAGGAGGATCGATTTTCTTTGCAGCTAGCATTGCTTCTGTTTTTTTTTTTTTTTTTTTTTGCTGCTCAGATTAAGAACGTTGTTTTGACTTTGCGTTACAATGATGTCTTTCAATTCTAACGGAATGTACATATCCTCAGTATTATTTACAGAAGACTGTTTATATACTTTCATCTCTGACATCAATGCTTCAGTAACACGAAGAAATTTGCCTGTGCCGATAGCATACATCTTTGTCACTGGTAACGCGAAATCTAAGCTACACCAGCAGTCGTAAATATCCGAATATTGT